GTTTTTTTTTTTTTTTTCGTGACAGCATCCTTAGGTTTGGCAAGTATATGCCCTAGGTTCCTAAGGATAAATGGCTCTACCGAAAAGCATTTAAACGTAATTTCATAATTCCAAAGCTAATCTCGCAGTAATGAGCATTTAGGATTGCGAAATGGCGTGGTGTGGGATTGGTGTGGCGTTCTCACGTTTATCGCCCTTAAAAAACTTTAGCAAAATAATCTGATTCCAGTTTTCCAGTTTTCCAGTTTTCCAGTTTTCCAGTTTACCTTTGGATCGTGAGCTTTAGATTTCGATGACCTGTATGCCTAAGTGATGTATTGAAGGTAAAGGTCAAATTATCCAATCGTAGAATTAACATATTTGAAATCAATAAATTGAACTATATACCATACCTTAAAAAGATGGTATCTGAAATTTTGAAACGGCAAGGGCACGTTCCATTCAGATGTCGCGTTGATGAATAATTTATCGTAAATAATTTATCGTGAGTAGTGAATTGCAAGTTAATATTATGAATAACGATTGGCGTTTTATATCAAACAAGAACGACAATTAATGATAACCACCTAATTTTTTCTCTTTGAGGCAACCATTATCGAAATTTAACCAAGAAGATCTTTTTGATAGCCAGTCATCTTGAGCTGGCTATAGAGAAGCCGAGAATGACATTGGCCCTGAGAGGGAAACAATGAGTTTTCCTTTTAGACGGTGGAGGGGAATTAAATCTAACTCTCTCCGTTCATTACTGAAATTGTTTGCTATACCTCTCAACCCAATTTCACTACTCACGATATATTATTCAGGATAAACTATTCAACAAGCTTGTTATGCAGTGCAATGCAGGAGCCAACTTTGATACATACTTACAATCATATATCTTAGATCGTATATAGTATATCGTATTTACTATATAGATACAGATGAAATACTAGGATTTTTTCTTTTAATAAGAAATCCTACCTTCATCGCACGCTGTGAAGATACTATCTTTATCTTTCACGTGTGACGATATTGGTGTCGCCATGTTTCCTGACATGATTAGCCAATTACAAGAGAGTCTCCCGCTTAGGCGGGAATAAAAATAGTTGTGTTTTATGCGGAAATTTAATCGGTATCTATGAAATAAATAGAACATTACATGGCCGCGTGAGGATATGAATCTTATCTTCTCGTGCTGAAACTATCACTCACTCTTGATAGATACTTAATTATAGCATTCGAAGATAAAATTCGTATCCTCGGCGGCCATGTATTATCCTCTATATCATATGGATAAAGGTGTTCACATCAATTTATCCAAATGAACATCTGCTCCATTTTATTCTTTTGTTCTCCAGGTGACTCTAAGTTCTCGCTCCAAAGCTAACACTCGTCCCTTCAAGCGCAACTCATTTGTAGTCCATTTTCGGTTTAAAGGTATGTTGCATTTACTATGGTTTGTCACAGATGAAACTGCGAATACTGACGGAAACATTTTCAAACTAAAAATAAATCTTTTCTTTCGATCTGATGTTTAATTTCAAACGAAAACAAAAAGTTTGATGTTGGCAGCGTAGGAATTAAAGAATTGAGGTAAATTTTTTGCCTGGTTTTCCTTTTTGATCAGAGAAACTTAGACTATTTGTTGCAAAACTGGCATCCTAAGCATTGGAAAATGGTTAAGCTTCAGTTACAGAAATAGAAATTATAGTCTAGCATTTTGTTGGAAACGCCGAAGAAGACGTCTGTTGAAATTATTATTAATTTTTATTTTTTCATTTTCTCACGTACGGCTGGATAGAGGTTACCTATTTTCTGAATTAGGATGTCGATTTGGATTGTACAGTTTTTACCTTCGTTGCGACGCTGAGTCCATAGGCAATAGTGGCCAATTATCGCTTTTCGATCACTGTTAAAGTAACTGCGGCACACAGGTACCTGGGCGGTGTAAAAACGCAATAACGGCTTGTATGCGCTGGTAATACAAGACGGGAAACTCTACATGATCTTTGTTGTTGATATTTTGACTCGACCCATGAGCTCTTCAAAATAGAGCACAGCTCGTAAAAGTGCTCCGCGATACTACAAGG